AGAAAGGTTTTCCTAATCCTCAGACAATTCTTTGTTCTTCTTTCTTTACTCCATGCTCAGTGTGATATACATGACACAAAGGTTGAGTCAACTTTTCTCCATTTTAACTGGTTGCCAGTGTGATTTCTATGTTGCCAGCACCTGTTGATCGCTACAGGTGAGTTTCATTACAAATTAAAGGAGCATCACATAACTATTTCTGATGATTCTGAAAAGGGGTCAGTAATTCTCTCCAGTCCATTTCTAGAGTTCTGTGTGGAATGTATCAGACTTAGCTTTTTCTGCTTTTTGTGTTGTTCCAATGCAAACAAAAAAATAAACATGAGAATATCAAAGAATTTGTGATTGCAACAATTGGTAGTGAGTTATCTGACAGAACTGCAGGGGTGCCAGTATTTTTGCCCATGACTATAGAAAGAACTCAGTAGGAGATACACATGGAGTAAAAGCCAGAGTCAAAAGTAACTGGACAGGTACACATGAAGTCAACAAAATCATCATATTTAGCATTTTGTTCAAAATCCATTGCACTCAGTGCCTGAAGTCCTGGATGCACTGACATCAGCAGACACTTTGCATCTTCCCACCCACCTTCGGCTCCTACTTGTTGTGGCCTCCTCTGCTCTTAGTCTGGTCTTCGGCAGTTCAGTCAGACTGAGATCAGGAGACTGACTGAGCCAGTCGAGGATGTTCCACCTACCTCTTCACTCTCTGACTGCTGTGGTCGTATGTTTAGAATCATCCAGCTGAATGATTAAATGTTGTCCAGTGGGTTTTGATGCATCTGTCTCAATGGGAGCACAGAACGCTCCTGTATTGCTCCGCATTCATCCTGTTGCTTCCTCAGCAGGTAAATCATCAGTAACTGTCAGTGTACAGTGTGCCAGTGTACTGGCAGCCACACACACAAGCTATAACAGAAGCAGCAGCAGCATCTCTTCAGTCCACAGAACTTTGTTCCACAACTCTACCACTTTGTCGTCATGTGCTTTTGTGAACTGCAACCTGGCCTTTGTGTTCGTGAGGTTTACATCTTGTGGTGAAACCTCAGGTTCTGGTTATGAATTAAATGTCGACAGGGAAACATCCTGGA